AATTTAAGTTGCGAAATACAAGGATTATGGTGGGTCAGCTGTACAAGTCCCGCCCTTTCATGGGTGCACTAATACAGATTTGAAGTTGCGAAATAGAATGAACTATAGTGGCGGTTTAGCTCTACAAGTCCCGCCCCTAAGATCAATTGGATATAGTACAGTGCTCAGATGTATGAAATTTCAAAGTTCATGCGTTCTGCTTTAGCTGAAAGTCACCTGAGGAATATGTCTATAGGTCCCTAAGAGTACTAAAGAACTACTACATGAATACAAATTGTGATAATTTCATTGTAAAGCTGGCAATTGTTTAAAAATTATCGACGAATTGTAAAAATATGCGGTTGAGATTATAGTAATGCGTTATGAAGGTATATAGTTGGATTGTATGGCCAAACACATGGATGGGCACATTCAAAAGCGGTGGGATACTTCAATGTGAAGTAGGTTAGACCGGTGATTGACAGCCGCAGCCGGTTTGCAATTTCACTCACAACTGGCGAACGCTGAAGTTATAAAATTACTCGCCCTATAGTTTCTCTTAGTTTGGTAAATGTATTTAGATGTTTTTGTTTTGGCAAATTTCGTGTCACAAAAACCAAAAGCTTCGAGTAAGTATACCAGTCAGTCAATGTAGTTGCTATCCATGTTCTGACATAGGAGGACCCACGCGTAATTAGCAAATAGATCATGAAGAAGCAAGTTGAATTCTATAAAATCGATAGAGAGAAGAAAAGGGTACATGGAGAAGAAGTTTAAAGAAGCAAAATTTCCCTTTTTGATTAGTTACATTTATGCCATCGTTGGAGATTATTGTTAGAAATTAAGAAAAAACGGGCCAATAGTAAAAGGGTGTGACTCGTCCAATGGGATTTCGCAATTGGTTGACACTTGCAATGACCAATCAGAAGCCGGCCTCGAGCGCAGCAAATTTTCGATCGCAGAATATAATTTGGTTGTTGCGTGATGTCAATTGTGAACGACTAGGAATGTATAATGATGTATGGCTTGTTATGATTATATTGCAAAAAATCTCAGCCATAAAAGCACAACACCACGGTTTTTCTGTCATGTATAATGGGCTTCATTGACGTCAAACACATTGCAAACATCTTTTGTGAAAAACATTGATATCATCTATACATAGATGAATGGTGATAATCAGCAATAGAAACAGGTAGTAGAGTCTTTTGGCTTCCCCTTGGCCGAGCTAATGAAGGGGAGTGTCACAAGTTTGCCGTTGAAGTTGTAAAGTTTGGCCGAAGACAGTGGGTGAAGCCGTAAACAAGTGTGATTGGATGAATATAATTAGATATCTGACGTTATGAACTTCACCACGGAAACGACGGTTTCCCAGTGTGTCTAATTACCGAGCGTGAAATCAGACGGAATAATTTGTTACTGAAGAAAAATGAATGTATTTCAGGAACTATCAACATTTACCGACAAAGAACTCTTACTAGTAGTACGTACACCCGTCGGAAAACAGAGATCATGCCCTACACGTTAAGTGCTGGGGTTGGACGAGTAGCTGGCCCATGAAGGGAGCAAAATAAAAAGAAGAAACAAAGGTGTCATATTACCAAGTAAAGGACTTTCCAAGGCAGGGTGCCTACTAAGTTTAGTGATCTGACTTACAACTTATCGAGCTATCAGATGGACTTATCATGAATTACTTTACTTGAACTCCAAGCCCAGCTCGTCTTACTCTCCTTATAATAGGTATGTTCACAGCGTGGGTCATGGGCATCCAGGAAAAGCAAGCGATCCCATCGCTACAGGATAGCCCATTCAAGTGTAATATACCGCGCATTTGTCCTAGTTTGAAGGATTCAAATTTGTTTACGCTTCCACTTAACAAGTACTCTTTTGTAAGGAAATTGAGACTTCTTTCTGTAATGAGCTATGGTGGAAAGGTGAATTTGTTAATGTAACTTTCGGTTTCAGAGAAGCTCATTTAGTTCTTAGAAAGTATCGAAAACACAGAGCCTAAGATTGAAGTATTTTATACAATGCATTATCTTTTTCACTGGTCCGATATCGTCACATTTGAAAAATGAGAGAGGTTCACAAAATTCCTGAACATTCAAGTTGTGAGGAAGTGCGGTTATTTGTGGCAAAGCGAAAATAATCAGGCTCAGACCTGATCAAACAAAATGTCGCATAATGGACAATATCGAATCGATCGAAATCGAAAACCGATCAGAAGTTTTGGAAAACTATGAGCAGGTGTGAGCCAGCTGTGAACTTCTATGCTTATTTACTTTCCGTGCATACTCTTACCGACTTACCGAATGCGTATCCTTGAAGAACGTAAGAGTTCAGTCATTTATTGTTGCCCACTTCATACTGCCAAACGCAGTAATCAAATGAAACTGTGGTTATGATAATTCTAACGAGCAAAAGTATGTTGTTGTTGTTGTTGTTGTTGTTGTTGTTGTTGTTGTACAACATCAGGAAGAACTGCGAGCTAGCAAGACGAGGATTCGAAAGAATTACTAATAGATCCTTGAATTTATATACCGTAAATTTAACGGTGGCCTGTCGTCAGTTATTAAAATTTTTATGGTCAAAAATGATATCGCGAAGACGTTATTCTAATGACGACTGTATTAGCGGCTTTAAAGTGATTCTCATCGAGCAAAAAATGGTTGACAGTGACAACGGTAAACAACCACCTGGTGTTGTCCTTGAAGTGCCTGTAATCAAAACGACTATCTGATTATCCTCAGGAAAAACACCGATAAGAATCAGTGTGCTTGTAGAAGTGCAACGACAATACAAACAAAGAATCAAATAATCCGTTTTTCCACTTGTTCTGCCCCAGGCCAGTTGGTGGACCTGGAGAGCATTCTCGAAGGGGAAGGGGAGCAACTTGGGACAGCAGCCAAAGAGCGAGAAGAATGGCCTAAAGTCCTTCTGTAGTCTACAGTACAGGATATAAACCGTTGTGAGTGCGACAAGCCAGACGAAAGGGTCAGAGTGGGTGTTAAGTGGGCTTATCACTTGACAACAAAGTGGGTGTCATCACAAGCAGGACCCCCTAGGACAGACGACATTACTCAACCCATCGTTCCTATCTTTGAACAAGGCAAATCCGGCTGAAAGTGACAAATAGAATGCATCTTGATAACAGTATTCCGTTTCGGAAAATTTGTTTTTTTTNTTTTTTTTATGTTCACTTCCGCGATAACAGCGCTGATAACCTGCTCTGGAATGGACAACGCACGAACGTTGTAATAACTGGTAACGTCATGGTCTAGTAATGGGATAATAATTACAAATGCGATTTGGAGGGTTATAATGACACTAAGACAATACAGAAGGCGCAAACATCAAACCTGGTAATGTTTTTCTTTACTCAAGCGGCTCTGACACCAGACATTCCCTTGCTCTGATCGTGAGAAGAGAACATTCGGTGCCAAAGCCGTTTGAGAGAGAAGGCAAAAGAGCTGACCTGGGCATCGAATGACCTCCACAGTTCATTTAACAGAACTAATAAGTATTCAAAATTCACCATGAAACACCGTGAAAAATCGATTCTTGCTTCATCAAGAAAGGAAGGCAATCTCTATCCAGGCTTCATCTCTTCTGGTGGATACCATAGCTGCTATTCTATAGCCGGGAACGGAGACCCATTTGAATAAGCTGGCCCAAAGAGCTTTCTTCGAAGCAATTCGCCAAAGAGGTATAGTTTGCGTAAAAGTCAAATGAAGCTTCTAGAAATTACCATATAACTCAAGACGTAACTGAGCGTAAACACTGAGCAATGCATGTGAGAACTACTTGAGAAGCGCTTCTTGAGGATTCCATTTCGGCTTGTGTGCCCGATCGATGATTTTCCCCTCAAAAGTACTACACCTCCTCCTCACCCTAGTACTCGATATTCGCTTGAAAGGAAGATATCCATTCATTTTCGTAGAGTGTGCAAGTTTATTCCCAAATTCAATTACTGTACTCGCTCGAGAGACTTTGGATTCGAGCGGAAAACGCAAAACGATACGAATTTTTCTGTTACAAGTACCCACATATGCTCTACCCATTTACATTCATTTCGAATGAAGTCCTTCTCCCATTCTTGTGACTCACAAGTTGGAACTAATCGATTCAGAACAGCTTTCCCACCTGGCTAAAAACCCCACTTGTTCAAATCCGAAGATATCAAATGATGCACCTACGCGATTGGAGGGTTACGCACAATAACCAATCCCAGGCAGATCCCATTATGGGCCATAAAGTCTAACTCCGGCCTTCAGCAAGGCATATGTTTAGAGGATAATTTTATCTATTGTATTTTAATTTGCTTTTTATTTAAGTTTATTTATTATTTATATTTTTTAGTTTGATTTCTAATTATTTCAAATTTATTTTAAAATGTTAATTTGTATTTTCTCAGGCATTATAACTGGTGAATGCAGCCTTTATTGTGAAGGGGTGTAGGGTAATTAATATTTGCAAAATGATGAAGACAACGATTTTCTCCTCCTGTCAATAAACTTGTTTTCATTGAATAAACATTTCTCGACAAACAGCTAATGACTTGAAGTCAAGTTTTTGGGAGTTCTTATACAACAACACGCAGCGCATCCAGTTTTTTATTCGACAGATGCTATCAGAGGATTAATATCGTCTCGACGTTTTTCAGTGCTAAGCACTAGTGCACTGCCTACTGAGACTTTCTCCTTGAGCCCCTAATTGGGTGCCTCTCGAATGCCAACCTGTTTAACGCGTAAAGTAACTTACTGCTGTCAGAAAAGTGATTCTATGATCATCGGAGTCCTTTGCAGCTGATAGGAGGAGTCTCGAAAAAAGTGGTGATAAACTGATTTATGGAAGGTTCACTAAACTGGTTTGTGCCGTACCTTTCCCTCTGCTTATTTACGCGTGAGACTTATCCAATCTCTCAAAGTGCTTTTCTGATTAATACTGCTAGAATATCTTCTTACCCACCTAGGACTCTGACGTCCCTTTAAACTCTTGGGCGAGAAATTCACGGAGCCGCGCAAAAGCTATCTATGATTGGTTATTGTACGCAAATCACCAATCACAGTCACTCCTTCGCACTGGGTTAATTTAACACAAAGACCCAAAAAATGAGGCAGTCCCCTTCTTGACCAACTCTTTTAAATGATAACACTTTTGCGTTTGCGTTCTTCTATCGCACCGGAACTGCTGAGGCCTGCAGAAAGCCCTCGAGGTGTGAAAGGGGGATTCACTTAAGCCGTGACGAGCAAAAGCAGTGCCAGCGCCTGAGTTCGAGCCCTCACAACATTCTGACTCAAAAATTACTCTTTGAGTTGTTTCAAATCACGTAAGTCGGTTTGAAGCATTATAAAGCTAGATGAACTTTTAGAACATTGAATTTTAGTGAAATGGAACATTGAAGGAACAGTAGACAAACACCTGCCTGAAGGATTTCTGGAAAAATGGAGTAGGCGGAAAACTTAATCGTCTACACGAAATGACACATGCAAGCATCGGTTCAACACGTCAAAGTGTACGAGAAAAATAACATGGGCTACGGTGCCACTGATGAGGAAGAATTGGGAAACCCAGAGTATACCGTAGGAGACATGGAGCACGTCAAGAGAGGACTATCAAAGTTGTCACAATCAACAAGTAAGTACAATATGAGCACGTGGAGAGGAATATATGGAACCTAAAATACAGTGCAGCAGGTTTGTGATTCATCCGATTCTTTTTTCTCAAGCACGAATCAAAGTACCCAATGCCATCCTTGGTCCTCGGCATGGAAGTCCTGGTAGAGAATTCCGTGAAGAAGAACTTCCCGAGCAAAACAGAGCTGAGGAATCAAGTTCGAGGGATGACCGGATTAGTATTGAGATGAATATTTGGCCCACACCATGACTACGGCGCACTAGATGTTGGCTGGACTGATCAGGGCCTTCATCGACCATGGGCATGATCTCCCAAGGCACGTGGGGGTGGCGCAGGTGGAAACTTCCAGACCCTCACTTTATCACAAGAGTCCCACTTGTAATAAGAGGGGGATAATACATAGTAGTTTGAGTTCTACAGTACATTAGTTGATCGCAATGGGGGCCTCAGGCCGTGGTGAGACTACATTTTCTGAAAATTCTCAAGTATATTTGAGAGACACCGCCAAAAGACTACTCGGCGCAATGTTATTGATAGCCAAATTTCGAGTAATCATAGACTTGATTCAGCTAGAAAAACATCTAAAATGTATGTGATATCTAGTAAGTTGAGATTAAAAGTGCGCAAGACAATCTAAAGCGCCTTTCAAGGGGAAAAAACTGCTCGAGTGAAAAGAATGACATTGCAAGTGCTAAGGGCTTAGTTTCCCGATTTCTTGAACACTTGATGGTTTGAACGTGGCTCTACAGAATTTCACAAATCTTTTTAGGAACAGCTGGCAACCACAC